GTATACCAATGCACTTTTCTTCAGTGTAACTCTGAGTGTTCGCCACTAGAGGATGTGTCTGCCTTCCCCTGTCACATTCAGAATAACATTTTCTGCAAGACTACATAGGCCAGACAATTCTAATAGCAGACAACAGCAGGAGCAAAAGGAGGCCAGTGTTGAAGATGAGGAGATGAAAGATGGGATGATTGGAATTATGCAAATTGCACATGTCTACAACTTAACTTTATTAAAGGCACTGCAATTGGTTAAGCTTCCATTTGTGGCTTTTATAATTATCCTCCTCCCAGATAGCCTTTCATCATCTATGCAAGTAGGTGCATAGCAGGGGCCTTCCCAGTGCCCTGATTCCACCCCCTGCCCTGCAGGGTGGTGAGTGCTCACCGTGGGAAGGCAAGTGGAGTGTCGCAGTGGCAAATAGACTTGATAAGCTCAAAAGCTAGCAAAACTGCTACCAAGCCATCCATGAGCTGGCCAAATACAACCTTGAATTAAAAACACATGGTAGGAAAGAATTATAAAAATTATATTCTCTCAGAAGTGATTATTATGTTTTCAAAAGCACTGCTTTTAAAACCCTTCGAAACCTCATTCGGGGCCATATCTGGGGAGAGCAGTCCTGGCTGCATGGCTGGAAAAGAGCTCTCATGCCCTGCCTCTTCTCTCGAGCCAGCTTTCTTGGGCTTTGCTTTGGCCTCATTTTTCTGATGTGGGCACAGATTTCATTGGGATTCTCTGGCTTCCTGTCTCTCCATTTGCTTTGAGTCTGAGGATTCCTTTTAAAGACCCAAATAGATGCATGGGTTTCAAGCTGAGTACAGTTATAACATGTTGTTAGAGTTTCTTCATTAATTTAACAGACAAGTATGTTTTTTATCTTATATTTTTTGAATTGGCTAATACATATAGGACCACCCTGCACCAGAACAGTAGAAGCAAGATGGGAAGAGGATGAGAGGGAAAGATGGACATTTACAGAACTCTGCGGTGGGTGGGGAGGGAGAGGAGCAGACGGGGGGCAGAGTGGCATGGGGGGGGATGGGAAGGGAGAAATGGCAGGCCACAGCGGCTACTGTGGAGTCCCCTGAAGCTGGGTTCCATCTCTGTGCCTCCATTTGCTAGCTACGTGGCCTTGAGCAAGAGAGATAATGACTTTTAGCCTCAGTTTCCTCATCTGTAAACTGTGGACAAAAACAATCTACTGCATAAAGTTATAGTGAGGATTAAATGAGATAATTTTTATATACAGCCAAGCAATAACAGGCACCGAGCGGATGGTATGTCGTATTATCATTGTGGTAGGCAGCCTACAGGGAGGTCTGCTATGATCCTTGCCTCTTGGTATTCATGCCCTGGCATGGTCACCTCCCACAGTGAATCAGTGCTGACCAATGTGACCAACAGAAGATCGCAGGAGTGACAGCGTGTGAGGCTCTGAGGCTTCTCCAGAGTGGTCAGAAAAGGGATAGCAGCTTCTGTTTTGTTCTCTTGGGTCACTTGCTCTGGAGGGAATGAGCCATCTCGCCGTGAGGACACTCCAGCAGTTGCACAGAGAGGCCTATGTATGGGCGGTTGCAACTTTTTTGGCCTTTGGGGTCGGCCTTGTTGGGGGCGGTTCCCCGGGTTCCTTCCGGAGGCTTTCGTTTGCTTTTGGCTTCAGTTGCCCCAGGGGCCCAAAGTTTGCTTGCACTTTCTGAGAAACCCTGAGCTAGAACCAATCAGCCAAGGCACTTCCAGATTCCTGACTCGAAGAAACTGTGAGATGTAACAAATGATTACTGCTGTTTTATGCCACTAAGCTTTGGGGTGATTTGTTTTACAGCAATAGACAACAATACAGGAGAATGATGTTAATCATCTAATGCTACATAACCGTATTCTAAAACTTACTGGCTTAAAAAATAACAAAAATCATTTAATATTTATTGTGGTTTCTGTGGGTCAAAAATTTAGATAAGGCAGAACAGGGGCAGCTTAGCTTTGCCATATGACATCCTGAGTATCAGCTGAGGTGGCTGGAATCATCTGAGGGCTCATTCGCCCACTCATCTGGCAATCGATACCGGGTGTCAGCTGAAGGCCTAGCGGGGCTGTTGCCTGGCCCGCCCATTCTTATGGACCGAATGATGTTCCCCCAAATTCATATGTGGAAGCTCTTCAGTACCTCAGAATGCGACTGTGTTTGGAGACAGGGCCTTTAAGAGACAATTGAGTTAAAATGAGGTGATTAGGTTTAAGATTAGGCCCTGATCCAATCCAACTAATATCCTTATGAGAAGAGGAGATCAGGACACGTAAGAGACACCAAGGACATGCGTGAGCAGAGAAAAGGCCAGGAGAGGACACCGTGAGAAGGCAGCCATCTACAAGCCATGCCGAGAGGCCTCAGAAGAAACCAGACCACCAGCACCTTGATCTTTGATTTCCAGTCTTTAGAACTGTGAGAAATAAATCTTTGTTGTTTAAACCACCCAGTCTGTGGTTTTCTGTTATGGCAGTCCTGGCAAACGAATACACTCCATTCATGTCCTTTCTATGTATGGTCTGAGCTCCCTCACAACATGGTGGGTCTGTGTCAAAGGCAGCGAGAGACAGACACCATGCCATCGTTACAACCTGGTTTCAGAAGTCAACGTAGCATTACTTCTGACATATTCTATTTATTAGGAGTGAGTCACTAAGTTATGCCCCTATATAAGGGAAAGGGAACTAGACTCCACCTTCTGAAAGAAAAATAGTAAAATAATTTGCAGACATACTTAAAAATCATCCCAGTCTTTACCATCACCATCATGTTCATCATGTAGATTTTAAGATGCTGGCAGGCCAGTCAGGTAGAGATATGCCCCAGGCAACTTGGGTTGGGAACGTGGATCTGGAACTTAAGACTGTAGATGTAGATTTGGAAGGCATCCACATAGAGAAACATAAAGGAATGTGACCCCAGAGAAAGGGAGAGGACTCAGCCTTGAGGAATGCCCAGCTCAGCATGGTGCTGCATAAATACTGATTTACTGAAAGTATTGGGCAAAACCTTGGATATTTAATAGAAAGGAAAGAACTAGTTTTTTTCCAGTCTATTAAAGCTTCCTACCAGAAAATACAGCACTATCTAATGCTCCACAGCCAGATTAGTTTTCAAAACATGATGGACTCCTAAGACGAAACATGATCATGTCTGCAAACTGGGTCCCAGGAGACCTATAGGACGTGTCCTGTAGGATCCTAACCAGGAGACTTGGCTTTGGCCAGAACCCAGTCCCCGTCCCCTCCAGTACGGGGCTGCTCTCTTGGGCTGCCAGGTGCCTCTTGCCATCAGCAGAACATGACTGGCTTTCCTGTAGAGAACCACAAACTCAAACATATGAGATTTTTAAAATCTAGAAGCTTTTAAAATAATTTATATTTAAAATCATAAAACAATAATGTCCATTTCAGAAATAAATACATACAGGCAACCAGCAAAATGACAATAAAAACCACCTGTAATCTTACCTCATTGTGTGATCCATTACTGAGCTCTTTTGTGTGCATAGATATATTCTTCTTTAAAAGGGATCATATTGAATGGTGCTTTTTTTCACTAAATATTATATAGCGTGAAGTATCTTCCCCAGCATTAAATAAATATTATTTTGCAACATCCTTTGATGATTTCTGAGATGATCCATGAGTTTATTTAATCAAGCTGGTATAATTGAGGAATTTGGCAGTTTCCAGGTTTTTGTTTGTTTGCCCTTTTTCTTTTTTTACTTTCTATCTTGAAATAATTATAGATTCATGATTAGTTGCAAAGACAGTACAGAGAGGTTCCATGGAAACTCTTCATCCATTTTCCCCCAATGGTTACATATTACATAGTTATAGCACAATATCAAAATGAGGAATGTGACTCTGATCAAAAATATCTGTGTATAGTTCTACATCATTTTATCACATGTGTAGATTGTGTAACCACTACCACAATTTAGACAAATGTCATTCCTTTTGTGTTGCTGTAAAGGAATCCCTGAGGCTGGGTGATTTAAAGAAAAGATGTTTATTTGGCTCATGGTCCTGCAGGCTGTACAGAAGCATGGAGCAGCATCTGTATCTGGTGAGGCAAGAGCAGGCAGAGACCGAGAGAGAGGGAGGGAGGAAGGGGGAGACAGAAAGAGTGAGAGAGAGAGAGAGAGGAGGGAGGGAGATGGCAAGGTTCTTTTTAACAATCAGTTCTTGATCCTGCATAAATTTACCAATGTACTGCCTTAATGCTTAGGCAGTTATCATTTAAAATAATTAAAAATTAAAGACAGGGTTTTCCCAATTTGATAGAAATATTGTCTCATAACTCTGAAGGTGGAGGTAATCATAGTGCACCCCTAAATGACTTAAATTCTCATTTATCCTAGCAAAGAGTCAAGAGGTCTAAAACCCATAAATCAAGAAACAGGGGCGTGTGTACACTCTCGGGGTCGGTGGTAAACGCCAGGTGCAGCAGCCGTAGGAGTTGGGAGTAGCTGCCCCTGAGGAGCCGGACAGCCAGGGTGGGATGGGGTGGAGGCAGGCGACTGCCATGGGGCAGCAGAGGAACGCTGCTTTTGTATTTAAGTTCCCTGCAGCATCGTATTTTTTAAAAGCATGTAAACGTATTAATTGCTTTGACTTTACGAATGGCATTTGGTTGTTGGTTTAACCCGCATTTCAATTTGTTATCAGAACTCCCGCAACGGTGCAACCCTAACACCACGTGAAACCCAGGCTCTCGGGCGCAAGCCGTAGCTCCCAAGATTCCGCAGGCTGCAGGGGCGGGCTGTCCTCGGATGCGGACTACAACTCCCAGGACCCCGCGAGCCCAGGGGGCGGTTCTGGCCGGGACCCGGGCCCTGAACCCGCGGGGCTGCGCACGCGCGCAGGTTCTCGCGCCCGCTCGCCGCCGGCAGGCGCACGGCGCTGGGCAGGGGCGAGGGGCGGCCGCTGACCCCGAGGCGCGGCCGAGCCTGCGCTCGCTGCCTGGGCCTCCGGCGCCCCGAGCCGGCCCGGGGACCGGCGGCGGTGTGGGGGGGCCGGCGTCGCCGACGGCCTCCGTACGTGTCGGCGGAGGTGGCTTCGGCAGGTGGAGCCCGGGCTGCAGGTGAGACTCGCGCGCTCGGGGCTGGCGCCGACTCCGCTACCCGCCTGGGGTTTGAAGTGGACGATCGGCCCCCGACCGCCGCTGGAGGGGACAGCCAGGTCCCAGACTCCGGGCTGAAGGGGAGATTTTAGGACGCCTTTCGGGAGCCGGGCAGTTTGCAGAGCGGAGAAGTGACGTGTGTTGCGGGCTGAAGGAGGCGCGGGAGGCGGGCGGGGTGGGGGGTGGACCCTCAGGGTCGGGGTGCCGCGGGCTCTCGCAGCGCCTTTGGACGTGCCCACTGAAGCCCTTAGCTCTTGGAGGGCACTAGCAGCGGGTCCCCACGGCCTTTTGCTTTGGGAGGTGATGGTGCACATTTGGCAGGGGTGGCAGGGAGCCAGGCGAAGCGCGCCGAGGGGGCCCGGGCCGTCCCAGCTGTCTTGGAAGGCAGAACCTGGGCAGGCCTGCAGCTGGTGCCTGCACTCCTGGGGGCTCAGTAGGGCACCTGCTGTGTGTCCAGTGGCTTAAGAGCCTGCCAACGGCCTGCTTGACGGTGCAAGAGTAGCCTCTGACGGGGGAGCCCACGGATTCCTGACCCCATGCATGTGTGTAAGAACCCGTCTCCCTGCCACGGATGGGAGTCCTCCGCTAAAGTGTGGGACCCTTAGGCCAGAGTCCTGCGCCAGGTGGTGAGAGGCCAGTGCCGCTTACTTTGTGGCAGCCAACCGAGAAACGGCCCGCGTAGGAGGGCATGACTTCAGGGTTATGGGGCCAGCTTGGTAGGACTTAGTAGCTAAGAGCACATACAGAGGAGGGTCCCCTCACCAAATGTTTATTGTTCCATATGTCCGTTACTATCTGTGTGCCCTTGAGCAAGTCTCTCATCCTCTCTGAGCCTCTGTTTACTTCTCTGCGAAATGGGAATGAAAGTACTATACCTTCATCACCAAGGTTGCAGTGAGGACTAAATGAAATGTTGCCAGGTAAGTCCTCAGCCCAGTATCTGGAGCACAGCGAGTGTGCAGCAAATGCTAGCCAGCCGCGGCTGCCAGTGGTAGAAAGTGTTGGCGTTGAGTTTAGAATCCCGGTTGTCTTTACTGGAACTAACTAGCTGCCCTCCCTGGCTCTCATGGATCCTGGAGATCTTCCAGCTCATCCTTTCATATTACATATGAGGAATCTGAGTCCCAGGTGGTGGCTCAGAGCTAAGAGAGAGCACAGGTCCCTTCATCCCCGGGATGAGCCTTGGGCCCCCAGGAGGACAAGAAGGGGAGAGTGAGATTCTCAGCCCAGAGGAGGACGTGGGGCTGGTGCTGCCGGCTGGGTTCACCGAGGCCGTGTAAGCATTCTGGTTGGCAAGTTCTTGCTCTGAGCCTTGTTTTAGAAAATATTTAGTGATAAACAAAGTCTTCAGTGAATATTGAGCTAACCCCCAAATTAAATTACCATACGCCTCTTTCCCCAAGGGTGCTTCTCCATCTGAGCTTGGTTGTCAGGGGGATACTTTCCCCGCAGGACCTGCCGATCACATGATTCCCAGGGGTTCTTAAATTGGATGAAATAATGAACGTGAAAGGCAGAGCCCACACATGTCATCATGGGCTTTGGAGTCAGACTTGGGTTCGAATCTGAGCCCCACCACTTAGCTGTGCAGTACTGCGCAAGTCACATAGTGACTCTAAGCATGTGTTCTTACATGTGAAATGGAGTTAACACCTCCTGTAGGTTTGTAATAGGAATAATTAAGATAATGCATGTAAAGCACTTAGCATTGTGCATGGCATAATGGGAGTTGTTATGTCATTATTATGATTAGTAACAATATTGTAAAAATAATTGTCAAGCATAGTGCTTTGCCTAGGTTGTCTCTTTGAATTCACAAAGAGAATTCTCTTTGTGGAATTCTCTTTGAGTATCACCCTGTGACGTAGGTGTATTTGTGTTTTTCAGGCCAGGAAATGGAGGCTTAGAGAGGCTAGGCATTGGCCTAGGGTCATGCAGTTGCTAAGTGACAGGGACAGGAATGTACATCCTAGCATCTTCAGCTCTAGAACTGGTGCTCTCTAATTCTCCTACTCTACTACCTGTGGTCTTTGCCATTCTTGAAGCACAGTTATGACCTGGGGCAGCCTCCAGCCTGTAGCAGGGAGTCTTCTCACACCTCGTAGGTAAGAGGCAGGACGCTGCAGCATGTGATTTCCTCTCTGTCCGGTGTTGGATGAGTGGTGAAGCTGACGGGCATGCCCCGGGTGAGTTCCGGGGATGGTGTGTTAGGAAGAGGCAGCCCAAGCAAGCCCTATAGCCTCTTTAGGCCCTCGTCACTGGGCCACAGGGCGGGTGAGGGTGCAGGCTGGGTGGGACCTGGGAAGTGCGGTTAGGAGAAGAAATGCCCTTGCTTAGCTTCCAGGAGGGGTTCCGGAGCTGCATGCGTCTCTGGCTCCGTCTCTGCTCTGGGCAGCGCTTGCTTGAGCTGTGGATGTCGGGAGGAGGCCTGCACTGAGAGTCCGCATGCCGCCTTTTAATCCTAGCTGCCTGTGAGAGCTCACACTGCCTCTCAAGACCTCTTTTATGACATGAAGAGTTGGAGGAAATCATTTCTAAGGGCTCTTTTAGCTCTAAAAAGCAGTGGTTTTGTAATTCTGAATTGATGGCTTAACCCTCTCAGCACAGCATCAGGGCAGGCGGGCTAATTATCACCCCAGTGTGCTACCCAGACTCTCCTTGGGGCAAGAGAATGGCCACAGTTTCCTAAGCTACCTGCCACAGCCAGCTCTCTCTGCCTGGCTGGGCGGGGAGACATTACAGCAAGAAGCCTTGTGTTGCTAAGTTACAGTCGAGGGCCTGTGGGTCTGTTTCCAGAGCCATCCACACCTGCTCTGCCCTTGACTGATAAAAACTCACTGCTCTAAAGTCTACCCTGCTTCTCTGCCAGAGATCGCTGCTGCAAGCCTGATGACAGATGAGCACAGTACTTAAGAACAAGACCCCTGGAGTCGGAGGCAGATTCAAATCCTGGGGCCCCTGCTTAAGCTGTTAAGACCTTAAGCAAGGTTCTTAATCCCACTAAGCCTGGGTTTTCTCATGCTAAAAGAAAATGGGGATGATACTAGTACCTGCATTGAAGGGCTTTCATGAGGCTTAAATGAAACAGGGCAAGAAAAGGGCTTAGTACAGCGCCTGGCACATAGTAGGTGCTCAGTAGGTACCATTCACCTCCATCCCCTGCCCCAGAGGCCAACATCCTCTTTTCCTTAGCTAGCCCGGACAAAGATCCATCCTTCCATTTTTCTCAGGCCTCCCACTGGTACATACTGCAGGCCTGTCACCTCTAAGAGAATCAGATCTTTCACTCTGCCAGTGGAGACTGCTGTTGGTACAATCTTATGCTAGGAATTTATCTCTTTTCCTCATTTTGAGAAGCATAACAGAGGGCCTCTTCCTTGCTGTTAGTGGATACTCAGCCCTGCACAAGCCTCAGGAAGGGGCTGGGGTCCCTGGTCTGCTGTTTGCCACTATTACTGTTATTGCCAGGGCAGGCCCTTGGATTGTTTTAGACACACCCAGTAATGAAACACACCCAGGGGTCCTTTGCCAGTGGAAGTTTGTGTCAGGAATCATGGCACATCCCGGGGTGGCATCAGGAGTTGCCACAGTTGTGCTGGGTCCCAGAGCTTCCAAGAGGGTTGCACGGAAGCCATTATAAGAAACTGGAGAAGCAGCCCAGCCTTGCTCTGTCCATGGGCTCCTTTCTCAGGGGACCCATCTCTCTGCTGGCCTGTAGGTATGGGCATCTCCCCATGTCCCCCACTAGTGGCTGCTCTGGACCCAAGTTCCACCCTTAGCACGTTTAGCCTGGAGACCTGGACTAGTTTCTTGTCAGCTTCACACCACAAGGCCGCAATTAATGTGGGAAAGAGTGGGTTGGGCATTCTCAAAAGTGGGCATAGAGTATGGCATTCTCAGTCTGCCCTGGAACTTAGGCTTGTGCATTGTCTTAGCAAAGGCTGGGAACAGAATTTAGTTAGCCTTTACTGATGAAAGTAGCTATCCTCAATTGAATCAGTTGCTTACCCTAGACTGGAAAGAGATGCTTTGCTGGCTGTTGCAAAATTGTGGAGGGTTAGAAAAACCTCAGAGCAGTTCTTAACACTGAGCACAATGAGAATCACGGGAAGCTGTATTAAAACACAGGTTCCTGGGTCCTACTCTAAGAGGTTACGGTTCAGCAGGTCTGGAGTGGGGCCTAGGAATCTGCATTTCTCACATTCTAGGTGATGCTGATACTGCTGGTCCATGGATCAGTCTCACTGTGGGTTCTTCTTTAGGGGACCCCATGACCAGCCCTCCTGCCACCTGTGGAATAGCCCTCACAGGTTGACCTTGTTGGGCTGGACCACTTCTAGGCAGGGGTTCACTGTCCTACAAAGTAGCTGATCCCTCTAGGCTCAAACAGTTCTGACCCATAGAGAAGCCCTCCTCCTGCCCAGCATGCTGAGCTCTCCTCCCCATGCCTTCTCGCTGCAGCCCTTACTTCTTCATTCAGGCGCCTGGAGCACCTGCACAGCCATGCTGAGTGGACAGGGGCAGAGTGGGACAGGGGCAGGTGTTCCCACAGTCCACACCTGCGCCTGGGGCCTGTGTCGCTGGTGTCGCCATCATGCCCGTGTGTCCACTCAGGTAGAAAGGGTTGCATCCCACCCCTCTGGAGCAGCCTCACTGTTGCTGCACAGCCCCTTGGATGTTCGAAGAGTGCTGGGGCCAGGGGCTTCTTTTCCCCAGGGAAAAGAAGCGGCCCTGCTCCTTCAAGCATCCCATCCCAGAAAGACTCACGTAGAGTAGGTTCATATTGATGGTTAAGTGGGTAGAATCCGATTCCTGACAAAAATGCATAACCTGAATCTAATCGAGGGGAAACATCAGACAAACCCACATTGAGGAACACAGTAGCAAATAATCGGCCCCGACTTTTAAAAATTGTCAAGGTCATAAAAATCAAGGAGCGGCTGAGAAGCTGCGCCCAGATT